CAGGAATGGACAATTAAATATCAGAACAAATGGAAATGCTCTCTCAACCAGGCATCACTAGTGTATAAGCTTAAAGAGCAGTAGTATTCCTACATTCAAAGCAAACTCTTGCTTCTGAAATGGTCGGGTGATTTTTGTGCACTAGAGCAGAAGCCTACAGATAAACACATTCAAGTTAGTTTTGCATGCATAAGACAAATGGTAGCAAGATTGTTTTGTCACATTTTATCTTAAGCTAAGGAATCAACTCTTCTCCCAATCATGTAGGATTTAATGCATGAGAAGTTAGAAAGATTAAAAATGTTAAACCAAAAACCAACTATCAGATCTGCCAAGCTTATGAAATATTTGATATCAGTTTGAGTCCTAGTCTACACCAAAAAGCGTTTGTCATATATAAAGCGATAATGGAACATTCCAATGTAATGTCTTAGGATATGGACAAACATTACAGTGGATTAAAAAGGGCAGAGACTTACTGCATATCAGTTGCTTCATGGCAACTGTTCGCAGGCCCACTTTTCATCTGTAGTAAGCAGCAGCTAAACAGTGATGACTTACCTGTTTTTCATGCAGGGCTGCATCACTGCAATTTAGGCTCCCTTTGCCACAGAATAAGAACAAGCCAATGAAAAGTTACTGCAGAGCAGCTGACAAATAGTAAGTCAGTACTCCCTTTTAACTCACTCATGTGTCTTGTTCATACTGTATACCACTATTGCTTATCCCTCTCCCCAAAGAGGACAAGCTAATAATTAACCTCTTTGTACTGATGTTGCTACATCTGCACCAAGGTCATTCTACTTACACTATGCCCAACTGTTGTGTATGTCCAACTGTTGTATAAGAAAGCATCACAGTGCAAAGAAACTAGTTCAAAGCTTGTCATCTGAATGACAGAAAAATGCATGCTTACAGGTACATCAGGATGCTGCCACCCATGACAATGATGAACCGGCTCACACTGGAGTAGAAATAGATGATGTTGACAAAAACGTAGAACAAAGTTGCTGAATAAAGCCAATCCAGCCAGTCTCTGTTCCCTTCCTCCTCCTCTTCCATGAGTGGACCACCTTGTGCATTCATTTGCAAGTTCTGATTAGCTGCTGGGTTAACCTGAGGAGGAACATTTTGATTTCCAGGCTGGTTTTGTGCAGGAAATGGATCTGGAAGAGGGGCAGGTGCTGCCACCGGTGCCACTGGTATCTCCTGTGATCTTTGTGCACGCAATGGGTCAGCAGCAGTAGCAACCAAGCTGAAAGCAAGGTAAGAGGGGTGAGACTACTACAACTTGCAGTGTTTGGTAAAAGTTAGCATACTAACTTGTTAAGATGATTCCTATGAAGAAATCATCACACATTTAATTCTGAAGCCACAGGTTTGTGATCAGATCAGGTGACACAAAGCTAGCATTAGATCTGCTAGTGATTGGCTGTGTGGCTTTTGGCAAGTCAAAATTGACGCAAATGTCACCATCTTTAGCACTCCATACACAGTTTCAATTTCAGTACTCTACTGTTGTGAGAGCTGCTCATGAATAGCTGAAGTGCTCAAGAGCCTCCCTCCCCACAATTCCCTTCAGGCTCTGCAGGTAAGCCTCAGTTTATATAGCTTATTTGCAAGTTTTCAGTTAGCCCCCAGCAGGTGGGGCTTATTTCCTCAGCAATAGACCAAGTCCGGAAAAAGTGGTAAAGATCTTTAGATGTACCCCCTCCAATAGGCTCAACACCACTATAAATGGTTGCAAATTTTAACTTTTATTTAGACAAAAAGCAATAAGTATGACTAAACCAAATGGCATCTGGTGTTTATAGCTACATCAGACATTTGATTTGCCACAGATAAGGAAGATGCCTGTCAACTGGGGGAGAAACAGCACTAGTATCTTTCTAACCAACTGGTTCTCAACCTTTAGATTTAAAGACCCCTCTCAGAAGTGCCAGCTTACATTTTCACTTGTTTTTTGCCAACAGAACAATAACAGAACAATTCCCACATTACACAGAACTAAGAAAGATCACTACAGGGCAAAATGTGTTTGATGTGAAGGATTTTTATTTGAAGTCTGTGGATATATCATGTGAAACATGTTTGTACACTTAACTGCAGCACCCTTGAAAAGACAGACATACCAGAGTGCCCCAGCCCTGTGGTTGAAAATTACTGTTCTAACCAGTTTTTAACATTTCAAAGCTAGTTCTGCAAGAGGAAAGAAAACTTACTATTGCATGTAGTACTGTCTTGCATAAATCTGCTGAAACCAAGAAATCTGAAGCATGCTGTAAGTAGTATAGGCAGAGAAGCCACGAGCTGTTTCAATCCTTATTCAAAAAGTTTAATAAAAAGATTAGTTAAAAAAACAACACACCAAACAAACAACCCAGGACTGTCTTTCCCACCACTTCTACTTACAATACTGAAGATACATGCAAGCTGCTTTTGCCACTGTCTTGCTGACAGGTAAAGCAGCATATGGCATACACTTCCAATATGTTTTAAATTAATCTGGGCTTAAAAGACTGTACTCAACATTAAAAAGCTGAAGGCAGAAATCTAAAATTTCAGCCCTAAACTGTACTATTGTGAAATTAAAAGGGGAAGGGGGGGGGGAAGAGACTTCTAAAAAGGAAAAGTACCACCCTTTTGATGACATTATTTGGATATTAAGCTATTTTTCCCATTCAAGCTCTTTTTAAATGAAATGGGAATATGTAAGGACTAGAAGAAAAAAGCAAGCACTCAATCTAAACTTCAGAGGCTCAATCAAGTACTGGACAGTGCAGTGGATACCAGGTTTATGCTTCTATGAAAACATTATAAAAAGCATTTCTATTTTTCCATATCTAACAAGAAAGGACAGTAACATCCAACTCAAGAGGGAAAAATGTTTTAACCTCTTTGGCATCCATCCACTTAAAAGTTCCAAAGCAGTAGTTTAAGGTGCTGACATCCAAGAGTCTGTTCAGAAACAGACACATAACTTTATATATAATCTCAGCATTTTAGAAGGCATGTCTGCATATGAAGCACATTTACCTTGTATTGGTTTCCACTGTAGGTTGGTTGCAGGGAGCATCCCTGTGTCTTGCCCCATCAGTTGAAGCTACAGAAGGATCTTGACTAATTTCTGACAATGCTTTTGGCTGTTTAGTTTCAATGTAAAGCAACAGTTAGTAGTGGTTTGCTCAAGACAATGAATGAAAACATATCTGATTCAAAGGTAAGATAATTATCTTAAAATAACACATTCCCCAAAATATTTCACTGGAACTGTGCGCGCATGTGCCTTGCAGAGCGCCAGTCCTGAACAGGGCCTTTGGAAGCTACTGTCATATCAATTATGAACCACAATCAAAACAAACAATATTTCTAGAATTGTTTTGTTCCTAAAACACCTTGAGAGGTGGCCTGCATATGGAACAATGGCAATAGTGTCATTTGTTTTGAGAAAGTGAACTCTTTAAATATGTAGGAACTTAAGGCCATAGTGCAGAAAACGGAGTAAAAAGAGCTCATAATAGCAGCAGTACCACCATTCTGGGAAACCAAACTTTTTTTTTTTTCTTTTTTTTTTAAACACATGACATGTTTCAAGTCCTGTTCCAACAGGAAGCGATGAAGAACTACAGCTCCTCTCAGTAGATGTTGCAAAGTTACATTATGGTATAAAATCTTTGTGCTTGTATATATTTGGAAGTTTTACTGCTTTAACTATACTGGTTAAAGCAATATGCTAGCGGTTACATATACTAGCATAATTAAAGCAATAACCCGTCTAGCACAGCCAGAGCCACAGCAGTATGAAGGCTTTATAATACTATAGTTTAGGTCACTACATGTAAAGTGTAACAGCCTCTAAAGCATATGATGAACAGATTTAGCCAATGAATGCTAACTTTAAGTAAAAGCAGAAAGATCACAAGATCAGTTTTTACAAAGCCTTCCCCGATCACATTTAAAAACAAAAAATAATTGCTTGTCTTAATTTTAAAGGTTCAATTTTTTAAAGTGTGTATCAATTTGCCATTTGATAAATGCTGTCTCAAATACCAGACAGAGGCTACCAGCATGGGGTGATGGCGATGCAAGTTGCCTTGAAGTGCTAGGACAATACATGTTTATCAAATACAAAGCCACATCTTTTTCAGTTGTTTTCTGCCACAGATGACACAAAAACAAAAACAGTCTATTCTTGTTTGCTCATGACTTCAAGGATGTGATTTTTTTGCCTTTGATATTATAGATAGCTAGTGTTAATCACACCAGCAAATCCTCATACAGAAACTGAGATCTGTGGCATAGTTTAAGCACACTTAAAAAAAAAAGTGTATTAAGTTTGGTTTAATTTATTTCCAGTTTCTTCCTCCAGAGGCTTTTTAAGTTTTATTACTGATGAATATTTGGGCAACAATCCAGGAAGAGCCTAAAAGATGCCACCCCATTTAATTGTTGACAGATTCTCTTTCTTTATACGAATGAGACTTGATTATCATGGAAAACATACACATTCAAAACAACCGCTCCCTTTGCAAACAGCACAGCAGTCATGACCAAGCTCACTGGCTCAACCAGGG